GCGCAGGTTTTTTTTTTTTTTTTTGTTGCGGCCCTGTTGATATGTTGTTTTGTTGTATTGCTTTGTTTTCAAAACTGTAAATGTGCAAGATATGTTATCATTCGGTATAAAACATGATGAGCTGTTTAAATGACCAGCATAAACTGGGAACAGTGGGCTGCATGGCCTCCCATAATGTACTGCCACGTACTACACGTACCATGTTCAGGCATTTAAGAGGGATTATACGCACCAAGTAATTAAAGGAATCCATGTTAGATGGTCCGCTCCATATTCCTTTACCTGAGTAAACCATACATTTTCTGTGATACTTTTCAGTCTTACCTTTGGTTTACGCTTGAGCTTCTTCAAGCATTTTTGAAGCAATTTGTTATGCGCGTTTGTACACTCATTTTCAGACTTGAGCATTTTTGTTTTAACCAATGAAAACCTCATTACTAGGAGAAGGAGAGACAAGAACTCACGCATGTAAGTGCTTTTTTTAGGTGATTTTATTGAAGTCTATAGGGATCAAAAATCAGCAATTCTGCCCCAGAGACGCTTGGTTGCTTTTTCAAAATTTGAGGGACAAGTTCAGTTATTTAAGAGGAACTATATAGGCAACGGAAAGGTTTCTTCACAGTGAGAGTTGTGAAAATGTGGAATAGACTCCCTCAAGAGTTGGTTCTGGCCAGCTCCGTGGATTGCTTTAAAAAAGGCTGAATTATTTCTAGATACACAGAATATAATTGGATACTAACATTTATAGGTAAAGTTGATCGAGGGAATATCCAATTGCCTCTCGGGGGATCAAGGAATTTTTTTCCCTGCAGGAGCAAATTGGATCATACTTTGCTGGGGTTTTTGCCTTCCTTTGGATCAGCTGTGGGTATAGTATTATAACTTTTTTTTTTTTAATGGTTGAACTGGATGGACTTTTTTGTCTTTTTTCAACCAGACTAACTATGTAACAAGTATCTCTTAAAGAATTCTATGTCAGATGGTCCACTTAATGTTTCTTTATCAGAGTAACCTACATTTCCCATAATACTTTGCAGCCTTATCCAAGGCTTATGCTTTTTTTTTTGTATGCATGTGTGTATGCTCATGTTTCAACAAAAGCGTTTAGGTTTTATCCAATGGAAAGCTAGTTACTGGGAGAAGGCAAGGCAAGACATAATTTCAAAAACATGCATTTTCATGCTCTCCTATTCTACAAGGGTCTATAGAAGTCTATAAGGACCAAAAATGAGAAACTCTGCAACAAAGAAGCTTGGATGCTTTTTCAAAATTTAAGGGACAAGGCTGAAGTTCAAGAATTTAAAGGAACTATAGGCAACAAGTAACATTTAAAACATTTTAAACATTTTATGTCAGATGGTCCACTCATTGTGTCTCTATCAGATTAAACCTACATTTCCCATAATACTTTGCAGACTTACCTAAGGTTCACGCTTAAGATTCTTTGGATGGTTATTTTATGCATGTTTGCACACTTGTTTTCCGCCATTAACATTTTTTGTTTTAGCCAATGGAAATCTAATTATTAGGAGGAGTGGCAAGAAATTAAACAAATAAATGCATTTCCATGCGCACCTATAGAACTCTAAAAACAAAAAACTTGGAAACCTGCCAAGAGAAGCTCATTTTTTTGAGGTTTACAAGTCTCAAGTTCAGGCATTTGAGAGGAACTATAGACAAGAAGTAACAGTTAATAGAATCTGTGTCGGATGGTCCACTCCATGTTCCTATATCTAAATAAAAAATACTTTTTCCATGATACTTTGCAGCCTTACCTTGGGTTCATGCTTGAGCAAAGCTAGTTACTAGGAGAAGGATCGCAAGAAATTTGGCAAATAAATGGGGTTGATTTACTAAAGGCACATTGAATATGCACTTTGTAAAGTGCTGTTGCTCCAGAGCTTAGTAAATGGGGTAAAGCTTCACTTGCAAAGAATACCGAATCATGTGTAAGGAAAATAAAAAAAACAGCATTCTTCTTGCAATGGTTGGATGATGGAAGTCAGCAGAGCTTTTGCTCATTTACTAAGCTCTGGAGCAACTGCTCCTACCGAGTGCAACTGAACTTTACAAAGTGCACAGTCTACTTGCCTTTAGTAAATCAACCCAGGTGTTCCTGCTGAAGTCTATAGGGACCAAAATTGTGCGACTGCCTCAAGAAGCTCATGTATTTTTTTGGAGGTTTGAGGGAAAAGCCTCATGTTCAGGCATTTAAAAGCAACTGTAGGCAACAAGTAACAGTTAAATGAATCCATGTCAGATGATCCACTCCACATTCCTATATTTGAACAAGCATGCATTTCCCATGATATTTTGCATCCTTATGTTCCTCTCCTTTGCATCCTTGAGATTCATAAAGCTTTTTTTGAAGTGTTTTTTTTAAATACGTTTTTACACACTTATTTTCTGGCATTTTTAGGCTTGGGCATTTTGGTTTTAACAAATGGAAAGCTAGTTACTAGGAGAAGAGGCAAGAAATCATGATAGAAGTGAGTTTTCAGAAGCTCCTTATGAAGTCTTTAGGGATCAAAAAATGCATGCCTCTGCCCCAAAGAAGCTCATGCACTTTATTGAGGTTCAAGAGACCAGTATCAAGTTCTGAAATTTAAATGACCCTGAAGGCAGCAAGTAACCGTTAAACAATCAATGTCAGATGGTCCACTCCATGTTCCTTTATCTGAGTAATTATATATTTCCCTAGATACTTTTTTTATTATTATTATTATTATTATTACTTTGAGTTTATATAGCGCCAAAGGGTTTGCTCAGCGCTGTACAATAGGGGGGGACAATACATGGCACAGTACAACAATAACAAACAACGTACGAGGGGTAAGATGGCCCTACTCTTTCGAGCTTACAATCTAGGAGGGAGGGGGTAAAGGTACAGTAGGAAGTGGCTGAGGGGAATGAGGGGTGGGAGGAAAGAGGGAGAATGGCCGTTAGGTGAGGGTGGGGTAGGCTTCCCTGAAGAGATGGGTTTTGAGGGAGCGCCTGAATGTGAAGAGGGAAGGTGACAGTCTGATGGATTGGGGCAGTGAGTTCCAGAGGATGGGGGAGGACCTGGAGAAGTCCTGCAGTCGTGCATGAAAATCTTACCATGGGTTCAGGCTTGAGTTTCTCAAAGCATTTTTCTGTGTTTTTGTACAATGGTTTTAAGGAATTTTCAGGCTTGATTGTTTTTGCTTTAGCAAATAGAAAGCAAGATAATAGAAGGAGAGTGCACAAAGAGTGTGTTTTCAGGTGCTCCTATTGAAGTCTGTAAGGACCGAAAATTAGCAAATCTTCCCCAAACAACCTTGTGTAGTTTTTCAAGGTTTTACTGAACTTCAGCAGAGAACAATCGGGTCTCTTCTTCTTCTGCTGGACAGAGCTGTGCTATGTGGCAGAGCTGTGAACTCTCAGAACTGGATGGACAGAAATGCAAATACTCTGGCATGAAAAACGACCCATATATATATATATATATATATATATATATATATATATATATATATATATATATATATATATAAATATATAGTTCTTCTGTGTATTTAGCTGTTTGTCTGGAGTTCAGCTTTAACCTAAAAATTTCCACTGAGAAAATAAAAATTGTTCATGTTTTGTGGTAAGAAATAATTGAAAATCTCCTGATTAGCACGAGTCTATGTGGAATTAAGCACATCAGCAAACGTCATGGTAGGAAGTGAATGAGACCAGCAGGTGTCTCTTTCAATGGGGTGCTCAGTATACTGCAGTAGTGTGCTCTGCTGAAGAGCCGGCTTTGAGCTGGATCAGACAAGAGGGCCGATGTGTTCTGTCTCATCATTTCTGCATTTACTAGGCACACAAAGATCCAAAGCAATTGCCAACTACTAAACTGCCAAGAAAACTACATAGGAGCATGCTTTAATATCAGGCGGATATATGAAGACAAATTTGCCCGTCTTAAACATCAAAGTTGTCCTTTTCATAAGTGTTACCTGGGATATATTTGCAGTGTATTTTTCATTTCAGTTTTAATAAAAAAGAAAACAATACAATTTTTTAAAAGGACAATTTTCAGATTTTTTTTTCTTGAGTTGCCACATACCAGATGTTGTGGCCAAAGAACTTTTCAACTGAGCCTTCCTTAGATTCATACTTGCCCCAACCTAATGGCCATGGCTTTGACTGTGTACATTCAGTAATTCAGTCCTGTCAAGGCTTGCACATTAAAACCACAGAGACGTCTATTTCTTAGGGGCATGCCCCTAACATCTATGGTTGAGCATGTTGTCTCCTGTCACAAAGGAGAGATATCACCAACTATTGATAAGAACTGACACCATCTAATATGGGGCCTACAAGGCCCTTGACTTCCACCTCCAATGGCGAAACGTAGCAATGGAAGCAGCTAATGTGGTCTTACAGGAAGAAAATCCAGGGGTAGGCATCACAAGTATGGTAATCTGTCCAACCAGTAGAAGGCAGTGGAACATGGCACATAATTTCCAGGATTCTTCGCCCTGTTGTGAAGCCATATATTGCAGTAGAAGTGGGTGGGTCACATTGGCATTACTTTTCAAACCTCTGGCAGATAAAACTGGGTGTGAAGTAACTCACATCCCAGCCTCCGGTAATTTAGGAAACGTAAAGAAACCGTTACAGTAGAGTCAGCTTATGATATCAGTCTGATCCTAAATATCTTTAAAATGATATACAATACAATGATTAACACTAATGCCTCTTACTGTAGTCTTGAATGTAAATAGACTCTTTACATTTTATGTCTTAACAAAGCCGTGATATTTCCTCCAATATGCTATTTTGGATACCCTCATAAAAGCGTTCTTGCTATACAAAGATATAATCTTGTTTTGCAAAGGTGGTGGGGCCCACTTGTGCCTTACAGCAAACTTTTCAGCATTTTAGATGTATTAGGATGGTTGGATGATATGTTATTTTTTTTCACTTGCCTGTATGTAGTATACTTCTTTTAGTATGTATATAGGTCAGTAAAAGTAAGTGGGATAGCTATGTAAGTAATAAGTATCCTGCTCTTTTCACAGGGATCTAAAACTGGACAATATTCTTCTGGACGCAGAAGGCCATTGTAAATTGGCTGACTTTGGGATGTGTAAGGAGGGAATTCTAAATGGTGTCACTACAACAACGTTCTGTGGTACCCCCGACTACATTGCTCCTGAGGTAGGTCATTCGCCACCCCTTGGTGGACACCCTTTAAGAATTCTGTAGCTTTTCTGTGCTGGCGCTGTTTAAATATGTTCTTCCAAGAGTTGGAATGCCTCATTGGAAAAATATGCAGCAGACTAGGGCTGGAGTTGTCTGTAGCCTTTGCAGGTAGAATTTTGGGTGCAATGGAAATCATGGTGAGGAAGAGGTAACCAAGATTTAGGAATGTCCTCTGTTCAGTTTTTGGTCATCTGACCTTCATTGTAGGGGCAGCACATCAATCACCATAAAATATTGCAACCCCCTTCACCTCTCCCCCTGGCCTGTGAATCCAAAACAGTAAGGTACCATGTACACTAGAGGGTTTTTTTTTTTTTTTTAAGCTCAAAAAGTACTGGATAAAAAAATGTTGGTAATAGTGTTTTTTTAGTGGTGTTTTAGTCGTTTTCAGAAGCGTTTAGGAGCATTAGAGTTTTAATAGCATTTTTACAGTACATTTAGAGGAAAAACAAAAGATAGAAAAAAGCTCGTAGGAGCGTTTAGCTTTTTTTTTTTTTCTTTCTGCTGGAAAAAAAACACTCCAACAGACTCTACAAAAACAATTATTTTTCTGCTCCTAGATGTGAAAGCTCAAAAAATGCTAATAGCTGAAAGTAGTGTGCATGGACACATAGGATAACACTATTTAGCTTCCAGGATCAGAAGAAAATATGCCGATAATAGCTTCTAGGAGCTGAAAAAAAAAAAACACTATTGTGCATGGAGCCTTAAAGAATTATATAAGACAGATCAAAATTTTACTGTACTGCTGCTTAGCCTGCTTGGAACTGACCAGTCATTATTGCCCTGGTTTCCACATAGCACCTAACATTAGGTTTAGTATGGGGAACAGCACAGAGAATAATCTGGGTCCCCTCTTCACATGGGCAGTCTGTCATTCTTAACTATTGCCATTCCCTGTTCTGAACCTGGTAAATTCTATGGAAAATTCATCTCCAAAAGTGTAAAGACTGCATTGGCCTCACGTATGTTCTGAGACCTGCAGTCTGTATTTTAAAGGTCCACTTTACGAGGAGGATTGTAATTTATCCATTCCCCCAAGAGTTCAAAGCGCTAGGGATTAGCAAATTGATAGATCATTGACGAAAGGCATTAGAGTCAATGGGTAAGGTACAATAAAGGTAGTTTGTAAGGTTGCAATAGGTATAAATGGCCTATGAGTGTTTTGTTTGGGGGTGTGGGGGGGGGGGGGTTGCTTAGTTTTGGTGTATTTTTTTTTATTTGAGAAAGAGGCGCAAATAGCTGAAAAATTTAAAGATTTAAAGTGATATCGGGATTTAAAAAAAAAAAAAAAAAAAAAACAAATATGTCCATACTTACCTGCTCTGTGCAGTGGTTTTGCACAGAGCATCCCTAATCTTCCTTTTGTCGGGTCTCCTGCCGACGCCCCTGGCTTCTCCCTGTTGCCTAGTGTCCCCATTGCAAACAGCTTGCTATGGGGGCACCCAAGCAGGCTCGCTACCAAGCCACTGCTCTGTGTGTCCATTCACACACAGAGCTGGAGCTCAGCCCCACCCCCTCTCTCTCCTCATTGTTTCACTGGCTGTGATTGATAGTAGCAGGAGCCAATGGCTCCCATTACTGTCTCAGCCAATAAGGAGGGAGAGAGGGAGAGCCAAGCCTTTCGTGCACATGGATCGCTGGATCGATATCTGGCTCAGGTAAGTCTTATGGGGGCTGGGGGCACTGCTGCACATAAAAAATGCATGAAGGTAAAAAACCTTGAGCCTTTAACAAGCACTTTAATACACAAGATTGAATTTGTGTTTTTTTTTTCCCTGGGCAAATTTCATGAGATAATTAAATAGACCACCAGGCAATGCAGAAAATCAAACAGCTGCCCAGGCGACAATATCCACCTTCGATCTGGAGCTGCCCTTTGCAGTAGCTTTATTCATCTTCACTTCATTGAAGGATACAGTGGAAATCTTTGACCATTGGTTTATGGTACCACCTTCAGAAATAGGATACTAGGCCCAAAAAAAACAAAAGCACAGCCTAGAGATGGTCCATGCTGGTGGTCAAACCTCCATCTGCTACATGCAGCTCAGTTTTTCACTTGGTGTCAAGGAGTAAAGACCTAAGCCTTCTGCTAGGAATCTACGCACCCTTTTCTTTTTCATGGAAATCTTGTTTAATTTTTTCCTTCATTCTTCAAGACCTTCAATCAACTGCTGAGCTGGGGGGCCAGCTGGGTAATCTTGATCAAACATATTCTTTCCACTGACAGCCAATGGTTCTCTAAAACCGTAATGTTATTTCAGGGGTTCCTTCATGGTAAAAAAGTTGAGAAAGACTGATCTAAATCCTTGTGGTCCCCCCAGCTCATGCTGATGCTGGCTACCACAAGATGTTCTCACTCTTCTGGGCTGAATGATACTTCTTGCCTCTTTTAACCTGAAAGACTGAGGACATGCTATGAATGCAGAACATAATTGTCCTGTCGCCCCGATTGACACAGCACCCTTCATTCATAGTGCATTGATACAGAGTGACATGCAGAAAAGTCCAAAGTTGTGTTTTAACCTTTTCTGTATTGTATTATTTGAATTCTTTTTCGCATTTTAATAACTGTAACAAAATGAAATGTCATCCGAAAATCGAATTCGAAAACAAAATCAAAATATAAACATATTTCAAACTATTGCTGATTTCCTTCTACGACTATGTGTATTATTGTTCGAATATAGCTTTCTTCCAAAATTGCAGTTTTCAATAGAATAAAACAGAATAGAAAAGAATAGAGTAAAAAAGAATAGAATAGAAAAAAGGATACAAAAGAATAGAAAATAGAATAGAAAAGAATAGAGTATAATAATGAAGAATAGGATAGAAAATAATAGAACAGAATACAATAAAATAGAATATATAGCCATCTTCTGAAATTAAAATTTCAAAAAAACAGCATAGAATAAAATAGAATAGAAAAGAATAAAGTAAAACAGAATAGAATATAAAGGAATAGAATAAAATAGAACAGAATAAAATAAAAAATAATAGAATACAATAAAATAGAATATGGCTGTTTTCTGAAATTCAAATTTTGAAAAACATAGCATAGAATAAAACAGAACAGAATAGAATAGAGTAAAACAGAAAATAATATAAAAGAATAGAATAGAAAAAAATGGAATAGAATATAAAAGCCCAGAATAGAAAAAAAAAATAGGTACAGCCTCCTCTCCGGCAAGGAGAACAGAGAACAGTGAGCAGCACAGTATCCACAAATTTGGTGAGAATAATGATTAGAGTCAGCAGTTCCTTAGAGAATCCTACACTACAGATATACAGCTACAGAGCTTAAGGCACAGGAATTGCAAAAGGTACATTTTTCAGGGTACTTTTTAGGTACAACAAACATTTTTAGATGTTTCAGTTCCAGTTTAAATTGACAGTCTACCTAAAACTGGTATTTTAGATTTTGGTAGGTGCTGAAACCTTAAGCCACTGACAATCTGATATATCTCCTGAGCACTTTGTTGGTGAGATAGTGAACTGAATAAGTCACAATGTACATAGATATATGCAGTTCTTTACCAATCTGACCAGAACACTCGGATCGGGTGACTCTCAGGTGAGTATGTGTAGTGAGAGGTAAGGTATTCAAGTATGTCCATAGGTTTATCAATGTTTAGGAGCTTATACACCCATTCGTGCGGAGATTGTGCATATGAAATGTAGACTAGGATAGGGATATGAAGAAGTCAAAGTGTAGAAAAGGGGAAGTATTAGAAAAAAGGTTGGCTTAGGTGAAGGAAAATAGTATGTGGTGTGTGGGGAATGATATAGGAATAGGTTATGGGGAGCTTCTTCACTACCATTTCCATGTTTGAACTGGAAAAGAATGGATTTAAGGGGATCACAATTGGTCATCAAATTCTTATGGGTTTTGGAGAACAGTCCATGTGGCCCAGACCTGAGTGTATGAATCCCATTTATGTTTGTCCTGGACTATGAGGTGATTGTAGCCATATTAGTGCACTTGCAACAGAAACAATGGAGCACTGACGTGATACTTTTTTTATTTGCACTAACATACAATTTTGAGGACAAGCTTTCGGGGAGTGTCCCCTTCTTCAAGGTCCAGGCAGTACTACTGGACTACTAGTACTGCCTGGACCTTGAAGAAGGGGACACTCCTCGAAAGCTTGTCCTCAAAATTGTATGTTAGTGCAAATAAAAAAAGTATCACATCAGTACTCAATTGTTCTGTCCTGGACTAGAGAGAGTTCCATGTGACAGACAGTCTTGTTCAGTGACTGTGACCTTTTTGGAAAGCATGGGTGGTTGAGTGCCAGTGGCATGGGATCACAGTACATGCAGTAGTGAGAAAAATGTTGGAGGATATCCTGGTAGCATATACAGTAGGACAATGTGAGGGAGGTTAGGGACAGTGGAACCTGTAGTCTTGGGTTAAAGTTTCAGGATTGTGTTTCAAATCATATAACCATTTTAGAGGTGACAAGCATTCAGTAACCCTCAAAGTAAAAATATCGACACATTAATAGTTTGAATTTTTCCTGGAGTTCTAAAATTTTCTTTTTATCTTGTATATAAGTAGAAGGGATATGTTCATTTTCAGTTGAATTGCTCTTTATTGTGTCATTCCAGATATTACAGGAATTAGAATATGGGCCCTCTGTTGATTGGTGGGCGCTAGGTGTCCTGATGTATGAGATGATGGCAGGTCAACCTCCTTTTGAAGCTGACAATGAAGATGACCTCTTTGAATCCATCCTTCACGATGACGTTCTGTACCCAGTCTGGTTGAGTAAAGAAGCCGTCAGCATTTTGAAATCAGTAAGTTTTCCTTAGATTGTGTTTTTTTTTTTCCTTTTTTTTTTTTTTTTTTTTTTTTAATTTGTTTCCAAAAAACTGAGATTGACTAATACTGAAGAGTCACCCACTGGGAGTTCAAGCTCAGTTCATGGTGGCACTGCTAGAATAATAGGGCCTGGGATGAATTACACCGCTTGTGGGAAAGGAACATAATGTTTGTGTTCTGTGCAGTTGTGTGCCGGATAAACCTGAGCATCGCAGAATTGTTTTATACGGAAAAGTCCAACAAAGATCATCTCTGTTATCTTGCTGACAGTTTACACTCTGCTGTGCCTGCCAGTCTGCAGGACACAATAAAAGACAGTGATTCATACCCTGATAGTCCTGAATCTCTCCTACTGCTGGTAGGGCTCAGTGTCAGATGTGCTACATTTATTACTGTTCCTGCTACATACATCTTGCTTACTGTACTATAAAATATGTACGTTATTGCAGTATGTCCACAGTCCCTGACCACCTTTTACTGTAAGGAGTTTTGCAGTGCCACACCCCCTCCCGCAGTGTCTGAAGTCCTTGAAAATGTCTGAAGTCTGTTTTTTTTACCTCCTGTAGGGTGTCTACTGACCCTGATCACTTCCTGCAGCATGTTCGCAGGGCCTGATACAGATGGTTCACAGTCCCTGACCACCTTCTGCACCCAGTCCACTCAATGCCCACTGAATGCTTCCTGCTGTTTCTCCTCAGTCCCTAAATGCCTCACATAGACTGGCCAGAGCCCATATGTGCTTCCACAACCAGGCCACAGTCCCTGAGTTTTTCCTGCAACTGGTCCACAGTCCATGAGCGCTTCCACAACCAGGCCACAGTCCCTGCGTTTTTCCTGCAACTGGTCCACAGTCCCTGCGTTTTTCCTGCAACTGGTCCACAGTCCCTGAGTGCTTCCACAACCAGGCCACAGTCCCTGAGTGCTTCCACAACCAGGCCACAGTCCCTGAGTGCTTCCACAACCAAGCCACAGTCCCTCCACAACCAGGCCGCAGTCCCTGAGTGCTTCCACAACCAGGCCGCAGTCCCTGAGTGCTTCCACAACCAGGCCGCAGTCCCTGAGTGCTTCCACAACCAGGCCGCAGTCCCTGAGTGCTTCCACAACCAGGCCGCAGTCCCTGAGTGCTTCCACAACCAGGCCGCAGTCCCTGAGTGCTTCCACAACCAGGCCGCAGTCCCTGAGTGCTTCCACAACCAGGCCGCAGTCCCTGAGTGCTTCCACTTCCTGAGTATGTCCAGGAAGGACAAAGTTCTTGAGTGTTTACCAAAGTGTTTCCACTGTCCCTGAGCGCGTCCCGCACCTTGGCCACGGTCGAGGAGAGCATCCCGCAACCTGGCCACGGTCGAGGAGCATGTCCCACACCCTGGCCACGGTGGAGGAGGGCGTCCCGCACCCTGGCCACGGTGGAGGAGGGCGTCCCGCACCCTGGCCACGGTGGAGGAGGGCGTCCCGCACCCTGGCCACGGTGGAGGAGGGCGTCCCGCACCCTGGCCACGGTGGAGGAGGGCGTCCCGCACCCTGGCCACGGTCGAGGAGCACTTCCTGCACCCTGGCCATGGTCCCTGAGGGCGTTCCGCACCCTGGCCATGGTCCCTGAGGGCATCCCGCACCCTGAATGCATCCCCTAGCCTGTCTACAACATCTTGCCTGCTTACTGCAGTTTTTCCACAGCCTCTGACCATCTGTAGTATATCAGTATATCAGCTGCTGTTTGGAACGTGGAAACTATCCTTTGTAAAAAAAAAAAAAAACAATAAAAAACACAATCAATAGACAAGGCTGTTAGCTGAACATATTTTGCAGCCCCTTTGTGATGTACAGAGTTGCACTTCAAGCCCCCTTAATTCAGTAAACAGCCAACCAACATACTAATCCTCCAAGCTTTAAAACAAAAATAACTAGGAGAGATGAACTTAGACTAGTGCCCCTGTTTCTGCATTTACGAAATGCCAGGCTTCCAGAAGTCCATGGGGACACTTGGGGATGGATGCAAGACTTGAGAACCTTTGCAGACTGAGCCACATGGCTGTCAGTGAAATTGACATACATGTTCAATGTCTTCAGTCTTCTTTCATCATCATTTGATAGATCAGTATAGATTTGCCCTTCCCTTGCCACTACTAGCTCCTTAGCCTCCAGTGATCTGAATTTATCATAGTGCTAGATCCTTGTTCTAGTAAATAATTGCATGTAACAGAAACATAAAGAATGGATAGGAAGTCAGAACTTTTTATGATTCTCATGTCTTTCAAGAAAACAGGGTTATGGCTAGAATGCATACTTGTTTGTTTGTAGACCGCAATAAACAGTAAAGACCGGTTGTTTTATCTTTATATTGAATTGGAAAAGTCATAAATCTCTCCAGTAATGTTTTATCAGTTAGCTCATTTAGAAAGAAGGAATTACAACTTCCACTAAACAATTTCAGCTAATGAAAACCTTGAATGTGGGACAAAACATTCCCCGGAGTGCTCGTTTCGTGGTTTATATTGGTTAATATAATCACGCCGGGCCTGATTCTAATTATGACATTTCTTGAGTGTTTTGGTACCCTGATGATTGTTCTGGAATGGTTTACACACATAACACAGAGCAGTTGACTTATTGAAGACAAATAGGCTGTTCATTTTGCAAGGGAATTTTCCCGAACTCTCAGTGAATGTGGTGAAATTTCACTTTGCAAAGGATACCCAATCACATGTGGATTAAATAAAAAAAAAAAGATTGGATGATTCAATAAGCTATGTGTAATTTTCACATTCAAAGTGCAACTTCCCTTGCAAAGTGAACAGTTTGTTTGCCTTTAGTCTGTTCACTTCTTGCAGTCTGAGTTTTGATTTATTGAGGTTGATTCACTAAAGGCAAATAGGCTGTTCACTTTGCAAGGAAAGTCACACTTTGCAATGGAATTTTCCCCAGAGCTTGCTAAATGAGGTGAAGCTCATCCAATCAAGTACATGCAAAAATGCTGTTTTTTGTTTTTCTTTTCTTGCACGTGATTGGTTATTCTTTGCAAAATTAAATTTCACCACATTCCCTAAAAGCAGGGCTTGACAATTCCGCTCACCCACTTGCTAAATGCGAGGGGAAATTCCTTTCTGGCGAGCACAGTAATGCCCCGCACATTTATTGATGGAGTGGGTGGTTTGCAATGTGATCCCCGGGGATCGATTTGCGTTCCATGCCTTGTTTTGGAAGCCGACTTCCAGTTTCCGACTTTCGGCTTCTTCTTTGGCACCGCCATTACACTGGCAGCGCTGCTGAGGGGACAGGTGCAGGAGAGGTCCACTCTTCTCCACTGAGAGAGACATGTGGAGAGGCCCACTCTCCACCGCCACAGGGGACACGAGGAGAGGCCCGCTCTCCACCGCCGCAGGGGACACGAGGAGAGGCCCGCTCTCCACCGCCACAGGGGACACGAGGAGAGGCCCGCTCTCCACCGCCACAGGGGACACGAGGAGAGACCCACTCTCCACCGCCGCAGGGGACACGAGGGAGAGGCCGGCTCTCCACCGCTATGGGGGACACATGAAGGAGAGACCCGCCAACTGGGGTGGGGTAGAGGTGGACCTCGGCAAGGTTTGGTGGGACAACTGGTGGAGAGTAAGGTTTTTGCCTGGCTAGTAGGTCTAGACTTGAAATTTTAAGACCTGCCCTAAAGTATATGTGAACCGTTACCCATTCAGTTTTAAAAATAAAAGGCAAAACATTTGTGCATATATAAAAAACCGTTAAAAAATACTCTTGTTTTTTCTTTTTATGATCACATAATCTCTTCTCAGCTACATAAGGGGCTTAGGGTGCTGGGGTTTTGAGAAACAGCAGTACAGTGATCTTTCCAGTGAATGGCTGTGCATGAGGGGAGTGTCAGCACGAGTCTTGGCCATTGGAAGACAGGCAGGTTGTGTTTCCACCACGCTGGGATGGATGTGCTCTCATGCCTAGTATGGTCAGTTTAACATAAGGAAGCAGAGGGACTGGCAGGAACACCAGGGATTTCACACAAAAGAAGCAATACAAAGAGGAAAGGATACTTGGTACGACAGGCACATGTCAGGAATATGAAACCTTGGTGTAACATATTCTGTAAGCGCTGGGGAAACTTCCTTTACTGCTTGAACATCCTATTGCCTTTAGTAAGTCAACCCCAGTAACATTTTGATAATACCATGCAGAATGTTTTTGCAGTCGCCCACAGCAGCCCGGTTCCAGCTGCAGCATTGCCATTGTGCTTACTATTGCTTCTTCTTGGTCCTACTCTATAGTCCCAATATATGTAGGAACCAGCGGCGGACTGACCATTTGGAAACTCGGGCACTGCCCGAGAGCCCGGGGTCAGTAGGGGGCCCCATGAGATGCCCCTGGTACCTTTTTCATAGGCTTTTTTGAGTTTGAGCAAGGACACAGGGGCCCCATGATCCCCTATTGCCTGGGGGCCCCATGAGTTGTCAGTCTGCCCCTGGTAGGAACATAGCCAACCTCCTTAGCTCGCTCCTGGGATGGACTGTGGGATTTGTAGTGTGCATAAAGCAGTACATATGACCACAACTAATGTGCATTGCTCGCTTCAAACAAACAGAAGTGGGGGGGAGAGGTTTGGGATCTCACAGAGGACATTACAAAGAGGTGGAAAAACACAAACAACTTAATGACAGATTGCAGGGCCATCAAGTAGTGGATGGTATGGATTATTTTTGGAAAATAAGGATGTGTCATTTTTAATGAGCATTTAACCCTTCGAGTGTGGGGGAGTGTTTTTTTTTTTTTTTTTTGTGTGCCTAGAGTGGGGCGTTAAGAGTAAGAAGCCTGTATATACTGAGCTATTAGTAGAGTCGTTTGTACATAATTTCAGACGTATTTGTTGAGTTTGTTTTTTCTGTAACCATCTACAGATGTGTATGTTTGTGTTATAAATGATGTGTTTGTAAGATCCACAATGAGA